AAAAATTCAAAGTTAAAATTTGAAGAAAAAAAAAAACTTGCGTGGTTGAAAGCCTAGATATTTTGTGGAAAACGATTTGTAATAGACAATGGAAGCTTTGTCATGCCCACGGGCAACTACCGGGAGACTTTTGCATGTAAATTGACGTATTTTTGAGAAGGGTTCCTTATACAATCAGGTTTCGAAATGCTTATTCATATCGTTCAAAATCGTACGATCGTCGGTTAAAGAGTAAGGCCTATATATACTTATGTATTACTTTCGCCTCAATTTGCATGTTGACCCCAAGTGGGCGTGGTAAAGCTTAGTGAAGCAATTTTGCCACATTTTTTCATCATCATCGTTACGTTTTCTGTTATAACAATACGTACGTTTTGGAGTGTTTTCGTAGAGATAATGTTGTATTATTTAATTATTCAAAGTCTCAAAGAAACAAATTTGCCAAGAAAACAAAACAAAGCAAAACAAATAAATCTTTTTTTTTCACGTGCCAATTAACTTCAGAGGACAGTGAAATCGGAGCATATTCATACAATTTAAGGACCTGCATACACTGAATGACTGCATTATCAGAGGAACCGTTGATGGTAAATAACCAAGCCTCTCCATTGACCCTTGTATTTTGTACGTCTTCTACACTATTCTTAGGCCTATTAAGAAAATCGTGACACACAGCTAGCTAGCAGACAGCCATACAGACTGCGTAGAATCTTTTAATATAGGATATCGCATTAAGTGTATCTTACCTGCTTGGCAAATTGCTATAGTGAGAAACATCGGCCATAAGAACAGCACAGACGCCATTGCTGAATGATGTTCCAGCTATATGCTCGCGTCACGGAAATCTCTTGCGTTAAACTGAACTTTATTGGAACTTTGCCATATCCGGATACATGTCTACGTGAATACCAGCCTTCGTTGACATTATTATCCCGAGATCAGGGGGCACGGAGGGCGGTACGTGATGGCACACTGGGTCACTTTCATTCTCGACAGAAAGTATAAATCACAGTGTACGAAAATATGAAGAGAAACAAGTGAGTGTGGAAAACCACATGCTTTTGTCATTGCCACTATGATACAGCCAAAACAGTTCACCTTGAAAAAACAAACCGTGTCATATTGGAATAGCATTTTGGTACACTATCACAATATAATCTGTCTAGGTTGTATTCCATGCTGCCCACTGACAAAATGATTCAGAAAACAGGTAATATTTCAAATACTTTGCTTACAAATTTGAATATGCGACCGGGATCTGCGGAATGGATGTTAAAGACATTTTCCCACTGATAGTTTGTTTATGAAGAAAGAAGAGTGCATCTGATGATCTCTGATATTTACATGTTAAAAAATTACTATTATTAAATTCTCTAGAATTTCCACTGTCGACGTTTTCTTTTCGCGAAGTAGCTATTTAGGCAATATCGGTTACTCAATTTTTAGCATTTGTGTGACTTTTTTTTTACATTTTGAATTTGATTATATGATTGATAATAATTATGATCGTGAAGTTTAGAGGTTTGCTTCTTTTCGATGCGATTTCTACTTAGTTGGATCGTTTCACTTCGATCCGACTCCTCGACTTTTTAACTTGTTACCGTTCATGACGAAATTCATTACTGACAAAAAAATAAATCAATAAATCAATTTTAAAAAACCAAGAAACACCGAAAACAAATTGATGCGAGATATGGCACGTACACTGAAGAGGGCGCTATTTCAAACCTAATTTTTCTTGTAGTTCTTTTTCTTTTATAGGCACAGCATCGCCACCAGAGCGCGAAATATTAATCGAAATTTCCATTTGTGACGGTCAATTTCACTGTTTGGCATCGTTTGCCTCTTTAGTGCGTTTCTCAGCCGATCTCCATTTTGAATAACACTTTCCTAATGGAATATTTTGCATAGAAGCTTAATGGCATTGGAATTGAATTGACTTCTGGCATACTGGAGTGGTTCTATTTGACTTTTCTTTGATCCCTGCAATTATGTTGGGGTTGTTTTGCATACTAACGCACGGATGATTGAAAAAGTGGAAGACAGGTTAATAACAGCAAACTCTATGTTTGTATAATGACTTACTGAAAATATGAAATGATCCGGACATTGCGAATATTAATCATTGGAAATAACCTACTATGCTCTGCGAATCTACGTTTCCTTTAAAATATATTTGAAGGGAATTAGCGGTCAAAGGCCTTATTAAAGGGCATGTATAATTTGTAAGTAAGCAGGGTGTCCTGTCATAGAATATTTTATCATCTAAACATTTACATGCCGAATTTCGGGAGTAGACACGAATTTCACGTGATAGCTGGTCGATCGCTCCCGTGTAAGTTTTATTTACACGAGTGTTCACGACCATTATGTCCGTTTGGTCGATTACATCCGACAACAGATTTTGACTAGCGACGGCCGATTGTGTCCGACCCATTATGTCCGACAGCCGAATATGTCCGATCCATTGTGTCCTACAGCCGATTATGTCCGACCCATTATGTCCGACAGCGACTATGTCCGACCAATTATGTCCGACGTTCGATTAAGTCCGACCCATTGTGTCCGACGGCCTATTATGTCCGACCCATTATGTCCAACGTCCGATTATGTTCGACCCATTGTGTCCAGGAATTGGATACCAGGAATCCGATTTTCCCTGACCCAATTTCGTCCGGTAAAAAACTGAAGTTTCAAACTTGCGCGCGCAAATTTCAAAGTTGCGCAAGTAGCAAGTTTGCGCTCGACAGGACTAGTAGTAACGATTGCACGAGGAACAGCGTGCGCGCGAAGGTTTATTAGTCAGACCCTATTTATATCTAACAGTACGTCTAGATTCCAGACTAGCTGCTACAACTCCCCAGTTCATTAGGAATTTTACTGAAAGGTATGCGACAAGGTATGCAATAAAATTCACGACATTGCAAACAAATTCGCATACGTGTGCGCACATATTCGCGATAAATTTTGCGACATCGCATACGTGTGCGCACACATTCGCGATAAATTTCGCGACATCGCATACGTATGAGCACACGTTTGCGATATGCGATGTCCCTTCGGGGCCACCATAATTTTGCGTGACCTGTAACCTGCGCGTCATCATTACTCTTTATTCCAGTTTAGAGATGTTTTTTTTTTCGTTGAAAAGCGTAATGCTGTAGGAAATTCTCGAAAACGGATCTGTGTTGTGAATTTACAATTCCTTTCACATGCTCAGGCTCCGTTTCGAATCACGAACAGTCGGATAGCAAGTTTTTGTCCACATGGTCCACAATGAACCAGAAATCACATCCGGTATGGAACGTGTGCATTTCTATGGGAAGTTTTCGGATAGCATTTGCGCACATTGTTTAACTACAGTCTTGAACAGTTGCAGCTAGATGCTTTATACATAAGTCATAGGCCACTTCCTTCACAAGATTCTGTAAAGCTCATCAGCGTATTAGGGGACATTTTAAGAATTGTTCTCGGTAATTTTACGCGCTCATTGCAGTCACAACCCAAAGATAATTTATTAATGTCAGTAGCCTACACAACCGAATGAATCCGGCGTAATCGACCATATAAATACAGCATAGGTCTGACGTATCTCATCGTCGGACACAATGGGTCGGACATAGTCGTCGTCGGACATAATGGGTCGGGCATAATCGGCCGTCGGACAATGAGTCGAAAAAAATCGGTCGGACATAATCGGCCGTCGGACACAATGGGTCGGAAATAATCGGCAGTCGGACACAATGGGTCGGACATAATCGGCCGTCGGACACATTGGATCGAACATAATCGCCGTCTGTCATAATGGGTCGGACATAATCGGCCGTCGGACACAATGGGTCGGACATGATCTGCTGTCGGACATAATGGGTCGGACATAATCGGCCGTTGGACATAATGGGTTGGACATAATCGCTGTCGGACTTAATGGGTCGGACATAATCGGCCGTCGGACACAATGGGTCGGACATAATCGGCCGTCGGACACAATGGGTCGGACATAATCGGCCGTCGGACACAATTGGTCGGACATGATCGGCTGTCGGACACAATGGGTCGGACATGATCGGCTGTCGGACATAATGGGTCGGACATAATCGGCCATTGCTCGTCAAAATCTGTTGTCGGACGTAATTGACCAAACGGACATAATAGTCGTGAACACACGTGTAAGGTAATCAAACGCAGCCATATATTTCGGATCACTAAATGGACCGGAGGGGCAGAAATGCACATGTGATTGTTTGCATACCAACACACGGATGGCTGTAAAAAGTAGAAATGCAGGGTAATTACATACAGCAAATTCGCTGTTTGCAATTACTTAAACAAAATAGAAATGACCCACTTATTTGCAAACCCTCATTAAAACAGATTACCGGATGGTTGCAAGTAGGAATTATCTCTCTCTCAACAACGTATTATTTTGTCTTTTTAATTCATAAAACGAGCTTACTGACCCTTTTGTAGTTTATTTTGCAGGTTGCAGGTAGCCTATATAACATAATCTAATGCGTATGACAACTTATTATAGAATGTAAGCTTGCACTGCGAACTTCAAATTAATGCATAATAATTGATCGTTCATCTTTAGATAGATCTGTTTGAAAAGTAAAGTTCAGATTTATCAACAACATAGTGTCTTGTAGATCATTGCTGGTATCTTACTGATATACCGCATCTGTGCAATATATCATTGGCGTGGTAGGTGTCTTGGGGTATGGTCTTATCATCAAGGTTATCTTGCGAGTCCCCTTCATGCACACATCATTCATAGCGATTATCTGCCATCAAGCAATCATCGACTTTCTGGGCTCGCTGCTGCTGCTTCTGCAGCGGAACATCCCTGTCACTGTGTGTAAGCGTGACACCGAAAAATTGACGAGGTGACACTAGTAGGATGCTTTCCCCTTCATTTTATTACTCAGCCCATAAATAGGCAGGTGAAACTGAAAATAAATTACAAGTAAATACATTTAATTACATAAAAGAAATAAGGACAATTACACACCAAAGTACAATATTTAAACACAGTGACAATTAAACAATATGTTCACAATAAATGAAAGTTAATTAGAGCACAGTGTTTAGAGTTTCACAGGTTGAGATAGATACAGCATCTTCATAAAGTTTACAGTTAGCCTATAACTTAGCAATTAGATTTGAATATAACTCACAAATCGTATGCGGGGCCAACACCCGTCGCTACACACAATGGATGGGTATCAGGAATGTATGTACTGTAGTTTACTGGAGTATACAGGGGTTTTCTGGGTTCACAGCGGCATTCTGGTGCTGTAAATACAAGCATAAATTAACACATAAACAGCACTAAACACTACGTTCAATCAATATCGTAACTGGTAAACCAAAAACCATGCGTGCACAAGCACACGTACATGTACATTTTAGTGCCTACATGAATGACCTTTTGCAACTAAATACACCAATATAAAGTCAAGTAAGCCAGAATTCACAGATAAACACTCACAAAATAGGATAATGTCACAATGTGAAATGTCCCAAATTACATAAATATAAATTAAAGTACAGAAAATAAGAACGAAACTTACAGTCTTCACAGCTTTCGGCGACGTGACGAAGACTGAAGCGTATTGGAAATTCCCACGCTTAAATAGCCATACTACACGTGATAAGCGTATTCTGCCATGCCATTAGTGGAGCAATGCCATGTGACACGACATTCCATGCAAATTAGGCAAAGATGAATAATAATATATTAAGACGACAAAAGAACACATGGAAGACATACTATTCAAATTAAGTCAATCTGAATTGTAAATTAAGCCACATAAAAGAACCAGACGATGAACGTTCCATTCAAATTACATTGGTTAACTTATCAATAAGAAAAAAAACTTATCAGCGACGATAACACTCCCCCCTTGAATGACATTCAACCAAGACATACAATTATATTATACATCATAACCACAAGTGTCTATACAATCATAAATTACCATTATCCACTATAACCACGAGACTTATACAATCATTAATCTTATACAATATAACCGCAGAAATTAATACAATTATAATAGTCTTACACAGTATGATCGCCGATTCAAAATCACTATCACCGTCCAACATGTAACTTGACATTTCACCACTCTACGCAAATCGACATTAACCACTCATGAGGGGGCAGCAATTCATGCAACATCAAACTATAAATTAAACTTATCACTTTAATGGAATTACAAAAATAGTCATCAGGAAATACATGTAATCTTGCAATATTATTTGCAGAAGTCTAGTGGGTTGTCTTTACAATACTTGTACATTTATATACAGCGAGCAAATGCATAAAAATATGTTCTCATCTTCAATCTTAATCTGGTGTACATGTACATTAAATATTATCAATTGGCGAATTCTATTCATGGAATGACGAATCTATAATTCAAGAGGAACCCGACCCTTCTAATAAAATCACTTTGGTGATGGGACGTACAAGTTCTGTAGCTCGAGTCATCAATTTTACTGACCTAACCAGACCATCTCGACCATAGTTTACATCCTTAACAAGGGCGAGAGGCCACAGGTTCCTAGGGGTCATTTCCTCTGAAACCAGCACTAGGTCACCAACAGCAATGTTATTAGCTGGATTCACCCATTTAGTTCGTCTCTGTAATTCTGGCAAATAAAACTTAAGCCACTTTCGCCAAAATTGATTAGCCAAATGCTGAACATGTCTCCAACGACTACGCAAATGCTCATGACTAAACCTACCAGGCGGATAACTGGAACTGTTTCTCAAGAGCAATAAGTGATTAGGTGTTATAACCGCAGGGTCACTGGGATCATCATTCACCTTGGTCAACGGTCGCCCATTAACAATGGCCTCCACTTCACAAAATACAGTACCCAAAATTTCATCAGTTAATCTAACTGTTCTGGGAAGTACAGCCACCATGACTCTCTTTACTACACCAATCAAACGTTCCCAAACTCCCCCCATGTGGGAAGCTTTGGGTGGATTAAAACGCCATACAATACTTTGTTTAACAGCATAAGCATTGATAATCTTTTGTGACACCTCCTTCATGCTTCTTTTCAATTCGGCTCGACCACCAACAAAATTAGTACCATTATCTGAGTAAATGATCTCTGGGTGGCCCCGACGGGCTATAAAACGCCTAAGACCATTCAGGAACGACTCTGTATCTAAGGCATCTAGTTTCTCAATGTGGATAGCTCTAGTGCAAAAGCATGTAAATAAACAACCATAGCGTTTGATCTCAGATCTCCCATACTTGACATAAAATGGTCCAAACACATCAATACCAATATATGAAAATGGTGGTTTACCGGCGTCTACACGTTCTTTGGGCAAATCAGCCATGAGCTGCTGACATGGTTTAGAATAGAGACGCTTACATGTTACACAGGCCTTAATAACCCCTTTGATGAGAGGTCTTGCTCTGGTAATCCAAAATTCTCTCCTAATCATACTTAGTACCCATTCTACACCCACATGAGCAATACCATGTACGTCGTTCACAATTGACCTTGCAATAACATGATTCCCTGAGACAATAAACTGATTCTTAACCTTATTGTCTTCGTTCACACGGCCACTCATTCTCAGCAAACCTTGATCATCTAGGTAAGGATTAAGAGCTTTCAAGGAACTTGAAGCTTTGACAAAATTCCCCTTTTTTAATCTACTAACTTCGGGAGCAAATGATTGCAATTGAGCCTTGCGGACAAGAATTTCCCCTGCATGACAAATTTCTTTGAAATTTAGTTGACCTGTAAGCTTGCGCTTCATCAGAAACTCTAGAAATCTCAACCACCATGCTAAAGCTCGCTTCATCCTGTACCAAGAGGAAGAATTATGCATTAACTGATCAATAGGATCATTCTCTACAACTCGGTTTAACTGGCATGCATAACCCTTATCTACAACATCAAGAGATTCCGTGGTAACGGCGCCGAAAGCTGCAATTGAAGTCTTACGGACTTCTGGATCCTCATTCATCAAATCTACTGGTTTTCTATCACCCATATCCCAATCATGTTTGTACTTGTGCAGAATGTCTGGACCATGGAACCATTTGTCATCTGACTTCAAGCACGACTGTGGTCTCGTCACAAGATCAGCTGGATTAGACTTGCTGTCAATATGATGCCACTGATTTGAATCGGTCAACTCTCTGATGAGACCAACTCTATTACCAACAAAAATGTGAAACCTCCTACTATCATTACTGATGTATTTCAACACAATTTCAGAATCTGTCCAGAAATTTGAACAAGTGATGTCTAAATCTAACTCACGTCTCAACAATGCATCAACTTTAACTGCTACAACTGCGGCTTGCAATTCCAAGCGTGGTATGGTACACTGCTTCAACGGTGTAACTTTATTCTTGCTAATGATCAACTGGACATGCACCATTCCATGTTTGTTAACACACCTGATGTAACTACAACAACCATACGCTTTGGAGCTGGCATCTGAAAAATGATGGAGCTCAATAAAGGCATCATCAAATTCACGTGGTTTGACACACCGAGGAATTTTCAGCTGCTTCATAGCATGACATGACTGCACCCAGGAATACCATGCATCTTCAAGCTGTGATGGAACTGCTTCATCCCAAGACAATTTATCAGCTGTAGCCTTTTGGAACAGAAGTTTACCGGCAAGTACAACAGGACCTAATAGACCGAGAGGGTCGAATATGGATGACACGGCACTCAACATTTTCCTTCTGGTGATAGGACTCTCCCTGTCACGCCCGACTTCGAAGAAGAACTCATCTGTAGATACCTTCCACTTTGTACCCAGAGTTCGACTTTCACACAAAGGACCAAAAGTACGAACTTCCTCGGCCACACAATCTTCAGACACTTCACTCAACAATTCCTCATCATTCACAACAAACTTTTTCAAACTGAATCCCCCCTTACGCAGGACCTTTGGAGTTTCCTTGATAACAGTCTTTGCATCAGTCTTCGAAGACACCGAGCTAAGACAGTCATCAACATAAAATGACTTATTCACAGTGTACCTAACCAAGGGATGAACATTTGGAGTATCAATAACTGTACGACTGAGAGCATAGGTCGAACTTGAGGCGCACCAAACACCCCCGAACAAGTGGGAAGTCATTCTGTAGTATTCCAAGAGACCATCACTGTACCACAAAAACCTAAGTGCATCTCTATCTCGGGGTGGTATTTTCACCTGGTTGTACATGGCTTCGATGTCGGCCTGAATCGCTATGCTGTGCTGTCTAAAACGTAACAAAACTAGCAATAACTTGTTGATGAGATCAGGACCCTGTAGACAACGCTCGTTGAGGGACTTTCCCTTGAATTTACAAGCACAATCGTAAACAACTCTGAGCTTGTCGGGCTTCTTGTCGGTTACCACTGCATGATGTGGAAGATACCAAATCCTCTCACCTGTCATGATCTCATCTGGGGGAACTCTCTCGGCATAACCCTTATGCAGTAGCTTGTTGATCTCTGCTTTGTACTTAGGATACAGACCACCCTCAACCAACCGCTTGTCTAGTGAATCTAACCTGGACTTGGCCACGACGAAGTTGTTCGGCAAGGACTCCTCTCTGTCTCTCCAGGGTATGGGGAGTTCGTAGTGCCCATCAATCTTCCGATGTTCCCGGTCCCACAGCTTGATCACAGACCTATCTTCCTGCGACCACGAAGAACACTCCAAGCCCTCATTTTCTATCTTCCACAACTTAGAGACATCATCAATGGGTAGACAAGACACAAAATTAGACACTACCTTACGACTGACTCTGCCAACTGGTGACCGACCATTCACACACCATCCAAACAATGTACGGACTGCAAAAGGTTGCTCGGGACTGCCGCGTCGCACCTCCAATGGTACAAGAGCTTCTGCATTATCCTGACCAATAAGTAAATCAACAATCACACCATCATGTTCATAAGCAGGCATTGGACTGATGTCACTGAAATGAGTAAAAAGTGCAATGTTCACAGATGCACTTTTCACAGGTATGTTATCAACTACACAAACATTATCCATCTGTACAATCTCCCCTGTTTCTGAACTAAGTGACAAATCAACAACTTTAGACTGATGAACACCTGACTTGTTCAATGTACTAAGCTGAAACTGTGAAGGCCTCCCTTGCAATCCCAATCTTTCTACTAGAGCCCGAGAGCAGAACGAGTTACTTGAACCACTATCCAATAAAGCGAATACCCTGCATGAACTGTTAACCATCACTTGAACAATAGGCATGTAGGTTTCCTTATCAGTAAATGAGCTTACATTAGACACTTTAGATTCAACTGGGGCATTGACAGGACAGTGAATGTACATTGTATGTTTTCTACCGCAACCTTGTACACCACAAACTGATCGTTTACCACAATTCTCAGTACTGTGAGAAGCGAGGAGGCAATTATGACAAAGATTATTGACAATTACAATATTTAACCTATCCTTGGGATTCATCGCTTTAAACTTATCACAATGCCACAAACGATGGGATTGGCTACACAATACGCAAGGTGGTTCAGGTTTAGCATATGACTTGGTGATTGAATGCTGACCTGACCTACGACTATTTCCTGACTGAGACTGAGTTGACACAGACGAATTAAGTGAGACTCCCTGACCAGTATTTTTGTTCCTATCAAAACGTTTGGGATGCATGTTACCGTAGACCGGATCATTAACTTCACGTGCAATATTATCTACGAATTCAACCAGGTCTCTAAATCCAGGATAATGCTCCGTAACCTTAACTGACTTCAAGGCGGACTTTTTCCACTTCATCTGAACATAGCTGGGTAATCTGCCTACTATCTCAAGTATGACGGACTGTGATTTAACCTCGTTCAGAGTATTTAACTGACCAAGTGTGAGCAAAGCAGTTTTCAAGTCATCTGCTAACTGTTGTATTTCTTGCGGGGACCGTAATTGTTTACCGGATTTAAGTTCCTTAACCAAACGTTCAGTTACAAGATGTTTATTTCCGAACCGACTATCTAAGATAGAACGTGCTTGGGAATAGCCGCTGGATCCCCCAACTAACTGACAACCCCTAATAGCTTCCTTAGCAGAACCAGATGTATACTGCATGAGCCTAGCTAATTTGAGATCACTATCCTCACATACTCTATCAACATTGACTTCAAATGCTCTAAGGAATTGATGGTAATGCAAAGGATTGCCATCAAATACTTGCAGCTCAACCTTAGGTAAATTTAACAAACCCAAGAATTCTTCCCGAGATAAATCCCCATATGTACCTGATTTGTGTGTACTTGAAGCATTATCATGATCAACTTCAACCTTTATATCCTTAGAAATACCCTTAGTCGAGTGAAGGACGGATATGTATACGTCCTGTTCCTTATAAAAATAAGTTTCACTAGCATCTACATCATCATCATCAACAAGCAATGAATGATATTCATTATGGACAGCCGTAAATTCCTTAAACAGATCTTTAAGTTTTGCAACATAATCATCAATGACACTTAAATCATCTTCAGCTAGACACTGTCTTATCTTATTGACTTGCTTGGTCACGGCTCTCTTAGCAGAAGTCCTAGTTGTCTTGAGCTGTGCCACCGTCGACATGATGCGAAGGTCTCCTCAACTTCCTGTGGGATGACTAGACGAGAACGGCAGGACGAGATGTCAGTGACGGCGGTAGGCTGAGCAGTGTAGACTACGATGCGCTGTCCGGTAGAAAGAAGCGATGACCAACCCAAGCTCGGAGGCGACGACAACAAAGATAAGCAGATGTGATGCTGGAGTGATGGTAGTTCGCACTGGAAATGACGATAGTTCGCACTGGGACGACGGTAGTTCTCACTGGGATGACGGTAGTTCTCACTGGGATGACGATTTTTTCACTGTCACTGTGTGTAAGCGTGACACCGAAAAATTGACGAGGTGACACTAGTAGGATGCTTTCCCCTTCATTTTATTACTCAGCCCATAAATAGGCAGGTGAAACTGAAAATAAATTACAAGTAAATACATTTAATTACATAAAAGAAATAAGGACAATTACACACCAAAGTACAATATTTAAACACAGTGACAATTAAACAATATGTTCACAATAAATGAAAGTTAATTAGAGCACAGTGTTTAGAGTTTCACAGGTTGAGATAGATACAGCATCTTCATAAAGTTTACAGTTAGCCTATAACTTAGCAATTAGATTTGAATATAACTCACAAATCGTATGCGGGGCCAACACCCGTCGCTACACACAATGGATGGGTATCAGGAATGTATGTACTGTAGTTTACTGGAGTATACAGGGGTTTTCTGGGTTCACAGCGGCATTCTGGTGCTGTAAATACAAGCATAAATTAACAGATAAACAGCACTAAACACTACGTTCAATCAATATCGTAACTGGTAAACCAAAAACCATGCGTGCACAAGCACACGTACATGTACATTTTAGTGCCTACATGAATGACCTTTTGCAACTAAATACACCAATATAAAGTCAAGTAAGCCAGAATTCACAGATAAACACTCACAAAATAGGATAATGTCACAATGTGAAATGTCCCAAATTACATAAATATAAATTAAAGTACAGAAAATAAGAACGAAACTTACAGTCTTCACAGCTTTCGGCGACGTGACGAAGACTGAAGCGTATTGGAAATTCCCACGCTTAAATAGCCATACTACACGTGATAAGCGTATTCTGCCATGCCATTGGTGGAGCAATGCCATGTGACACGACATTCCATGCAAATTAGGCAAAGATGAATAATAATATATTAAGACGACAAAAGAACACATGGAAGACATACTATTCAAATTAAGTCAATCTGAATTGTAAATTAAGCCACATAAAAGAACCAGACGATGAACGTTCCATTCAAATTACATTGGTTAACTTATCAATAAGAAAAAAACTTATCAGCGACGATAACAATCCCCGTCCCCGCCCAGGTACCACAGACGTTCGGCGGTGAGCTGCTGTGCCGTGTGTGGATCGGGGATGTCACCCTCTTTCTGCTCTTCGTCGCGTCCACCTACAACCTCCTCGCCTTGACTCTGGGCAGGTACATCAAAATCGTTAAACCCCTCCGCTTTCGGCTGATTCATTCCCGCAAGGGAGTAGCAGCAACGATAGCAATCATGTAGCTGCTTGTCACGTTCATCAAATCCTACTCGTTCTTCCTTTACAGCGTCGTCGACGGCCATACGTGTGTCTTCCGAAACTTCCAATCCTCCAAGGTAATGGGCCCGCTTATATCTGCTTCCAGTTCTTCCTTCCGACCGTGATTTTGCTCTTCTGTTACATACGCATCGCAAGGACGCTGAAGCGTCAAACAAAACCCATGTCCCTGAAAACTACCATCGTTGACCAGGACCATATAACGACATCAGAGGTGGGTCGGGCGGAGCAGATGCATAAGCAGCATCAGCTTCTCAGGGTAAGAAGGGACATGTTCGAAAGTCTGGTCATTGTCTTTGTGACATTCATTGTCTGTTGGACTCCCAGCCAGGTCACCTACTTCATGTTCAACATTGGTTGGATCGATTTGGAAGACAAGGGACCTGTTAATGTCATCGGAACCAAAATGACGGCCTGCAACTGTTGCCTCAACCCGATCATCTATTGTTTTAAGTACAAGCTTTTCCGCCGGACGATCTGTACGATGATTGCCGTCCAGGTAACGAACAGTATGATTGTCTTATCCAGACAGCAGTCACTAACACGACCCAGAACTACAACATGCAAGAGTTCAAAATGACAGTCAACGGGTAAATAAAAACAAGATTCGAAATGGGTTATGGGTAATGACCATCGCGCTACTGCACTTTGGCCAAGAGTGAAATATCACTTTATTCAAATGTAAATTTACTCCACCAGACTGAATTGAGGGACAAGACGATTGAGAGAGTTATTCATTCAATCGAAGCATTGACTAAAATGAACTATTTTAATTAATTAAAATGTTTAATGGTGTGCACTCTGAGTTGTCTAGCTCCAGTTTCACTATTTAGAACCGTGTTGGTTTCTCTTTCAATTCCCATTTTTTTTCTGGCAGTATGAAAGTTGGAAAAACATGAACAATATTGGAAGACGGTAGTGTTTTGAATCTAGTGTACATTTTAGAATAAATTATATGTAATTGTATGAGGTTTTCGGCATGTTTTTCAGAATGGACTCCAATGGTAAAAATTTAATAGGTATTAAAGAATATGTGGTCTATTTGTTTTTCAGTCGCAGACATTTTTTATCTTTAAAGCAGGATTGGCTAGAACAAGTACCGGATTTGAGGTGCTGCTATGCTGTCATTCGTTTCTTTCCTCTCTTAAAATACAACACATTTTTGCATTTCGTCAGGGAGGGGGGGGGGGTCCCTGTCCCTTGTGCAACATAGGAGAGAGCTACCCTATCCGTCAGAGGCGTGGCATTTGTTTCACTCCCTTCAATTGACGAGCTGTTACAAACATCAAGATGCTTTCAAAAATAATTCACCCATTCCTATTGGTCGAGAGCCCGTCACATGGCCGGTTTCAAACGGTTGATGAAGACCGTCATGCTGGTCTGAATCAATTTTCCAGTTTCACATTGTAACAAGGTCGGGTTTCAGAACTTACTTTTACCCGACAGGTTCCTTACTCCATGTACTCCAGCATTCATTTCATAACTTTTGTAACTTCGTGTTTGTGTCATTTTACATGTGAGCAGCCATTGCGATCATGTTTTTTGCCTAGCGCCCTCTCGCGGCCAACTAAACTTTTTTTTACAGCGCGCGCTTCTAGAATTTTGCTCAACTATGCGATGGGCGTAGCGAGCATGCGAGTTTTGCATTCCACCGCGCTTTGTTTAAGAGGAATAACTGACATTCCGGGCGTTTTCGTATGGTTTTCTTGTAGGGCTAGGTCCAAAATATTGTTGATTCCGTTCCAACTCTGCTTTGGGTTGAAATCTATCTGCCTGGTTCTGCTCCTGCTTTGCGACCAGCATTTACAGCGAGCATTGCACTCTCCACTTTTTCTGCAAGTTTTGGGTGCGGCTCCCCGATAGCAGCAACATAATTTTATATCCGGCGTTGCCGGCATTGCATTTTGCAATATTTTTTGCTGCTTCGACATCATTTTTAACACCGAGCACGGAGAAGACATGAACGTAGATCATCCCAAGTAGTGAGTAAATCCCATGTGTGTTATTTAACTCTTTTATGCCTGAAGCTGTTTATGCCTGAATCTTTTTTATGTAAAAGTCATTTTTATGCAACATTTTGTTCACTGACTGATGTATTTATAAAAAAGTTTTCTTTGATTTACAAATAAGGAAACCAGTTTTTCCCAAATTTCTTTGAATTAAATATCGTTACTAATGTATTTTGATCTGGAAGTTATTCCCATAATTCATTAGACATTTATTGTTTTTATGCATTTCAGATATCCTTGGAGCGACTTCATTAGCCTATTTCCCTATTTGACTGTCGTTTTTATATACCCAACAAAATTCTGTTTTTATATACTCACCAAAGTTTCCAATATAATTCTTTTTGTAAATACTGTACCTGATCATTTGTATATATTTTGTCTCTGCTTGTACTATAAATAAAACATTTCATATTATTGAGACAACAGAAAACTTCGCTCTATCCAAATCATTTTTATAGTGGAACCACTCGGTTGAAAGGAGAGTGCCACATTTTAAACTAATCAATTCCACTCTCCCCGGTTACACTTGGCGTAGTCGGCAGGATAGCTTTGCTATCCACTTTATTTTGGATTGGGGAGCGAAATTAGATAAATCAAATCAGGGCTAAACGGCAATCAAATATAAAGGGAAGTCGCCTGGCACTGATGAGACCGGGAGCTCTGTGGCGTCGTTCTGCTCATGACGATTGGGTGTCCAGGCTAAGCTCGGCATCGGCATGGTAGGCCCAGCGGAAGATATGGGTACAACCAGGGTGCTGTACTTGGCCTGACCTGGTGACTTCTTCAACTCCTATACTAGCCAGAAACTCCAGCATTTGTTGTAGCCATTTGGAGAGACTTGGTGTGGCCATTTTTCGCCATTGAACTGGCAACTCCTTTGTCACCGACGGACCCTTAAATAACCCAGGTTCCTGCCGCCTTCCTTACTTGGTGCCATCTTGAAAAAAAAACACATTGTTCTCCAAGAGACTCTGGTGCTGCCTTTAGACACTACTGAAGCACTTCCATCTTGGTGGCCGTCCATCGAACTGACAACGACGATTGATCTCTGGAGCGGGCTGTAGGAGCTTCATTTTTCATATTTTTGCCGATGCTGGTAATATATCTTACTTGTTGTAATTCATTGCATTATTATTGTTCTCTGAAAACCTAGAAAAAAGACTAAGAACACAACGAAATTTTACTTCGGAAACACATGTATATTGCGCCTGCTTATACACACACTGTAGCGTAGAGTTGGACGGATCCAAAGCTTTTTCATTTTTAGTATTCTAATTGTTATTTTAATATGCACTGCTCCTTTATAGCTCAATATTCTTCCTCTCATAGTAATTGTTGTATTTATTTCAACATTACCTTTTTGGCTTATTGAGGAAGTGCTTGGAATTCTTGATATTTTTAATGGAGCTCTGTTACAATGATTCTTGTTGAACATTTTAATGCCCCTGTGGCAGATGTCTTTTCATTTATATTTTTCTGTGCATGCAGATTTGGGACATACTACCACTTGGGTGACTACGTTCATGCCATCCATCCCTTCTTCCACCCCGTGATTCACTTTTCATTTTAGTTGCACGTGATTCAACCGTGCTTGGGTATTATATAGTGGATATTGTAGGCTCACTGCAGCTGCTCAACGCTAAAGCGTGCATATAAGGTTGTCGTTGCTTGACTGCGTACGCGCGTCGTCAGCTAAACCCTAACATTTTTGAAGATGTTTTTATTTTTTTTAATCGTCCCATTGCCAGTCTAGGATTCTTTTTGTAGCAATATATTGAAATCGTACTAAGCTGCAGAAAGTAAATATTTTGCAAAGGATTTAGTTAGCGCTTTAGGCGAATTACACTTACATCTTTAACCTATGATAATCTTAAATGCAGACGCCATATCTGTTATTTCACATTGTACATGTAGATTCCATTATATCTGTATTGATAGTAAAGCCAGTATTTGGTAAATTGTATTCTCTCATTGTCCGAATTTCGTTTTAACCGATGTTGGCATTAGCTAACCCAACTAGAATAAATAGACATGTTTAGGTTGGGGTTGAAAGACGCCCTGTAAATAGATGTTGAGGATTTTGTTTTTTAAAATACATTAAGTGTAGCCAGATACTAGGGTTTTTATAGTAAGATTAGTGTAGTATGATTATATATTGAGAATTAGGTTATTGGGTCCATTGGAGATAATCTCTATTTCTCTAGCGACATGCTAGAGGTGGACCATATTTTTGCCATTTTTCTCTATCCCGTCATTCAACACAATCTTGCAATTTTAATCAATACTGATATTATGGATGTTTTTTAGGGATTTTTTATTTGTAGAAACTCATAGCCAAATCTTCATTTTTTACGCGGACTTTCATATGTCTAATTATGGCCAAATTGGGAGTTTTAGATTTAAGGTCCATAATGAGGTAATCTCTAATTCACTAGTCAAATACTAGTGGTGGACAATCTTTTATCGCGCTCTCGACCATTTGAACATATTATTATTGTCCAAGTTTATTTCGAGGAGCTGGTGTAGTAGTTTTTAAAAATAGGATATTCCTTTTAACTCTTAGTTACTATGAAATTCCCTTTTTACAAAAGTCTTTTTTTCTTTAAAATCAGGGTGTGAGTGTAACCAGGTCGGGTTTCAGTACTTACTTTTACCCGACAGGTTCCTTACTCCATGTACTCCAGCATTCATTTCATAATTTTTGTAACTTCGTGTTTGTGTCATTTTACAT